CCCCAGCCCCCTTCTTGCCCCCCAGTTTAGGGATGATTCAAAATTCAGTTTCAGGTATGACCTTCAGAAGGCATAGTTACCTAACTGCAAAAATCTGGTACCTCTGCTTTTTATTAATAGACATCGTCTCTAATTGGAGTTTGGCATGGCACAGGACAAAACATGCTGTTGGATTTGTTATACCTAGAGTAGGCTTTATGTAGGAAGCCTTACGAAGCCCAAGAACAAGATGTTTGAATTTTGCTAACCCCAACTCTACAGTGTCCTGTTAGGTATAAGAACTGGAAAACAGACCTGGCTAGAAACAAAAATTAAATGGATTACTCGGTCTTATTGAAGTTATGGGTATTTATTTATTTTGGAACTGCCTTAAATTGAGAAATGTACACTAAAATGAATTCTCTCTTCTTTAACCTAAGGTATCATCGGGATAAAAAAAAGTCTTTACAAAAAAATGTGCAAGCTTCTAATATTTGGTTTGCCATTATGCCCTTCAGGCATGTGAGATGATTTGATCCGTTACTTTGAAGCACTGGTGCTTTGTAGCTTCAAAATCAGCTGCTAAAAATTCAAAGGAAGATGAGTTGGTTAGGGAAATGATGCCACTTTAGAGTGGTATATCCTCTTGGTTTGTTCCATGGTTTATTGCTTATTAACCTTGTGTACAACTGACAAGTTTCACAACTCATAGAGTTTTTTCATCTGCATTTTTATTATTAATCTGGTCTGTGGCTATCTTTCCTGAGAAGTCCAAGGACTTTGATGCAGCAGGAGCCATAATATGAGGTTCTTGTGTTTACGCTCTAAAAAGCCTCAGTGATACCAGCTGATAGTGTTGGTCTTGGAAAAGGGGGGAAACCTAAATCTCCCTAACTTTTTTTTTTTTAATGGGGAACCTGGAGTTGCTGTTAACTCCCTGCTGTTAAATAGATTTTCATCTCACTTGGAGGGAATTATGGAGATTTTAATAACAGCTATTACTGTTGTATGGCTGCAAACAACTTGTATAAAATGTAATTATCAGGAAGAACAAATAATTAAATTACTTGGTAATGCCGGCTAAGTAATCTATGGCTAGCAAGTCGTCTTTACCTGTCTGGCTGGGGAAAGTTTTGAGACTGGTACATGAATCCAACTCCCTGGCTTTAGGAAAGGTATTAGGAAATTTAAACTCTGTGCTTTATTAACATAAGGTGAGATGCGCAACTATACCTGGATATCTGCACACCTCTGTCTTACAGGCTGAGAATAATGTGTGATGGCATTTTATGCCTTTTAGGCTGCCCCACACCTGCAATCACCTAACATACTTTATTTTTCCAAGCAGTCCCAGTGAAGGGGAAAGGTCTTTGCCAATGAGACTGGAGTATTAACTATTTCTGATTCAAAAGACTGTCATAAAAATCTGAATGAGAAAATTGCCCACTTAAACAAAGCCCTAATGAGAATGGGCCACATATATTTAACAATTGGGTTACATCATAACAGGTTCAATTGTAAATTCTGCAAGGCAGGGACCATCTTCATTCCACTCCTACAGTTTGTAGCACAAAGGGATCCTGTTCATGGCTGGCTTTTAGGTGTTGCTGCAGGACAAATAATAAAAAGTTATAGCAGCACTGCTTTATTAAAACACTAGCTGTTGTGCCAGTTAGCTGCTGCTAACTTTTCCTAACTCTCCACAGTGTTTTGTACTTGGAATCATAGAGAAGTGGGCCTGGAAGGGACCTCCATAGGTCACCTAATCCAAACCCCTGCCTGAGGCAGAATCATCCCAATCCAAACCATCCTATACAAATCTGTAATTTAACCTCTTAGTAAAACTACCATCAACCCTGACAAAAAAGGATGTCACACCCAAACTTGCCACAGGTAAAGCAGCAGGACCATGGCAACCAATGTCCTGCTTCTGTCAGAGGTTGTTAATATACTTCTTACAATTTGCAAGTACACCTAACCTTATCCTCTCAATAATCAAAATAGATAACCCAGGGCACCCTGAGCATATTGTCAAGTTGCAAGCTTTATTCATAATACTCATCAGGGCCTTATGGTTTTAACTGTTTTCAAGGATACCTACCTGCTTTGATCCATGTGTAAAGAAGATGAAGCATAACCTCATCCCGTTTCTGTGTAGCACAAACTTCCACAAATAGCTAAAACTCCAGAGTAGATTTATGTGGTTTTGTACCCTACAATGTTTGACACATGAGGTGGGCAGAAAGTGCCACAAGCAATCAGTATGGATGTGTATTATCTCATCAAGCTAAACTAGATGAGTTAACATCACCCAACATGAAATGAAATGGAGCCTTGCAGAGGTATTGAAATTAAGAGTTTGTCAGCACTTGTATTCATATGTCATTTTTTGTTGAAAGCCCTTGTGTTTATTCAGTGGTTCTGAAGCCTGATAACGTATCGCCTGTTTCAGCTCAATAAGATTCTCATGTTGAAGATACCACTTGTGTGCTCTGTTGAGTGCTAGCTAGCATCCAAAAAGTATGTCATTCTTTGAAGGTAATATCAGATTTGTTATAAGGGGTTTGGAGGAGATGGATGGACTATGTCAGTTTTCAGTTTGATAAACCAATAATGACTAAAAGATTTTTCGAAATGATTTTGATGACTTCGTTAACGTAAGCACTTAATGATTTGTACCATAATCTCAATTCATAGTTTCCTATATTCTCACAGCTGTTTGAGATTAGAAGGGTAAATTCCACTGGGAGGAAGGTGGTCTTTTGAGCTTCATGCCAAGAGTCAGTCTGCATCTGAAAACATTCTTGGAAAGGTATAGCCTTTCACATAGACTTGAATCCTGTAGGAGTTGAATCTGAACTCGTTACTGCTGAAGGGCTTTCAAAAGAAAGATGGGGGCAGGGGGGAAGGTATGTGAGTTCATACAGATGGATAGCAAGCTAACTCAGTTGTGATATGGGCTATATTAGTAATTTTGTTCCAGTCTGGAGATAACTTCCGAGTGGTGACAAGAAATGCAAGAATCACCATCGGATAACTGTATCGTAATAATTCTGTTAAAGGTGTTAAAGTTAATCTACACAAATTGGCCGGCTTGAACAGACTAAACTTTTATTTCCTTGTAACTCTTATACAGACAGAAGGGGGGGAAAAAGTTAATGAACCCTATGTAATACCCGTATCGGTCGCAAAGTAGCCTGCTTCTTAACAGGCATTAGAATGAGGTTGTGAGAAGAATCAGTGTGGCAGTTAGATAATAAATTACTGATTTATAATTCTCTAGGATAAATAGGTGCTAGGAGGACATTTCTAGTTGGGAAAACTGGTTTTATGGCAGCTGGTTCCTTTTCCCATAAAACTGAATAGCTAGGAGTTAAACCTTAGCAGCGGTTCTTGGCGTTTCTCCAGTGTAGACTAGTTTTGCATGGGCTGGCCAGTAGTCTACCTTAAGCGCGCTTATATATTACAACTCAAATTAGGAGGGTATTTGTTGGTGACTTTTTTTTTATGAAGCATTTTCATGGGGGAGAATGTTAGGCGTAGGAAGGCAAAATAACTGACCATGGGCCATTGCAGTTCAGAAACAAAGCTTGGATTAGACACCCAGTGATCCTATTTACTGGCCTGACTATTAGAATCTCTTCCATCCTGTTTAGAGCCTGAATTGTAACCTCATTCCCTTTGTGCTTTAGGGAAAAAAAAATACAGTACGTGTTTGGCCTCATATCATAATCTGGGTAGTCTTTATACATGGCTAAAATATATAACAAACATTTGGAAGCAGTTGTCAGACCAGTATTGAGAAGGTGATATTGTATCTTAAAGCTGAACATGCTGCAGTTTCTTTCAGAATAGCTTTCCAAGCAGTCATTCCAGCTGTTAGAATGGCAGCTGTTTGGTAAATTAAGTTTTGCAGAAGCAGGGTAGGTTTGCCCCTTATAGACTGACTAAATCGGAGATGTGTAGCATGAGCTTTTATGAGCCCAAGCTCAATTCATCAGATGCTGTAAAAGGACATGTGGAGACCAGTGTAGTGTATCAGATAGAGGGGGTTTTGGGGGTTGGTTTTTGTTTGTTTGTTTGTTTTTTGGTCAGTGTTTAGCACTTGGGCAATTTTCAGGTAGTAAATCAATGTCTAGGTGTTTTGGTCTTCAGGAATACAATTTGGCCAGGTGTAAATATTTCTGTGGTCCTACTCTATAAAGATATCACTTAACAAGTGCATAAATATTAACACATCTGAGTAATTATTGGTTTTATGCACTTAGCAAGATGATACCCTGGTCGATTCTCAGTACATTGGTAGTCATTTTTTTCTGCTCTTCTCACATTACAGAAAGCTGTGGTATTGGTATAACTCTTTAAGAGGAGAATCGCGATAAATATATTTGGAAAACTTTGAAAACAGCAAAGATTCGGAAGCAAAAATGGTAAGGCTCTGAAATCAGGCTGCAGAAATAGCCATGAAATTGGTGCTTTTGACTGATAGCTAAACTTCTTCAAATGGTCTTTTCAGCGACCGATGCGGATTTTCGTGAATGATGACCGCCACGTCATGGCAAAACATTCAGCCGTTTACCCAACTCAGGAAGAGCTTGAGGCTGTTCAGAACATGGTCTCCCATACAGAACGTGCTCTCAAAGCTGTGTCTGATTGGATTGATGAACAAGAAAAAGTCACTGGTGAGCAGCCAGAACCGGAGGCCATGGAAACAGCGGCAGAAGAAGAAAACAAAGAAGGAGGGTAAGAGACATTACTAGGCAGGTGTTGTTCAAAGACACTGTTGTGTGCTTGAATCATTGCTTTTCTTCCAAAACAGTGGGTCTCAACCTTTTCAGACTCAAGGTGCCCTCCATAACGTTTCTGAATTGAGTGCCTTCCCCCCTGCCCCACTTCAAAAAATAATTTATTACAGTGCTCCTTGTAGAAGGGCTTGGCAATGGAGACAGGAGCACATTCAAGGAGGGACTGAGCCTGCACTTATCTGCTTATATCCTCTTGGCCTTATCTCATCACACTTTATGGCACCCTTCAAAGGATTTTGCAGCACCTGGTTGAGAATCACTGTTCTAGACCCCTGGCATCCAACCTGAGTGGTGTGATGCTGGTATGAGGACCAGATCCTGCATGGGGTTGGGCTGTGTGCTGGGCTAACCCTGTATGCTGGCAGATTTACTGCCCAGGGCCATGTTATCCAGCCCACAGGGCTCCCTCCCAGTCCATAATTTTGGCATCAGGGGAGTGGCAATTAACAGTGCCACAAATTTCCCAGCTTGCGAGGAGCTCTACAGGCTGGATGCCAGCTCCATAAGCACCCCTGTGTAGATTAATAGCAGTATGGTGTTAGATAACATTATGGCTATGGAAGGGAGAATAAGGCACAGAAATCTCGTAACTCTTTTCTTCACTGACCCGTGCCACCTTGTGTGCATCCATCTTCTCAGGGACCAGAAGGCTACAGAGCAGTTGACTAGGACCCTTCGTGGAGTGATGCGTGTTGGGCTGGTAGCTAAAGGTTTATTACTGAAGGGAGACTTGGATCTTGAATTGGTTCTCTTGTGCAAGGATAAACCAACAACAGGTCTTCTGGAGAAAGTAGCTGACAATCTTGGAGTACAGCTGGCTGTGAGTAAAACCCTTGAATCAGTTTGTATACATATTGCAATGGGCACTGTAATTAAAGGTCCAAAGACGGAACAGAGAAGTTGGTGATATGTCTTTTGATGGCTGCTTTTGAGACCACCTTGAATAAGCATGTCGCCCTCTTTAAACAGTTGCTATAATCTCACTTTATATGTCAACTAAACTGAAAATTCAGGTAGCAATCATACAAACCTTGTTAATACTTTCTAGGGTAAGAAGGGTATTGCTTTGCACAAATCTGGGAGAATGGGCATTCCTGGCTTAGATAATCTGCAGCAATAGTGCCACAAGTGGCATGGGTAGCCTCTGCGTGTGGCCTATTGCAGATTGCAGGGAGGCAAGGGTGGGGGGCTGGGACCAGTAGCAAACCTGCAGATAGGGCAATGGAGCAGCATATTGGGCAGAGGAAGGGGGTTGAAGTGGCACTCGAGGAGAGTGTATAGCTAATCAATCTGCAGTACTTCTGCTAAAAAGTTTTGCCCCTCTCACTGGTCTAAACAATAAAATTATTGCTTTGTAGGCTATTACTGAAGATAAATATGAAATAATCCAGTCAGTTGGTGATGCTGCAATTATAATTAAGAACACAAAAGAGCCTCCGCTGACCCTGACCATCCATTTGACATCTCCTGTTGTCAGAGAAGAAATGGAAAAACAGTTAGCTGGAGGTATGGAAGACAGAAAACGGCTAACAGTCAGTCTGGAAACTTACGTTCTCCGTTGCTAATTCACTGTTAAAATGTGCTATTCAATTTCAGGCTACACAACTTAAACCGCACAATGCAAATTCCACCGTTTAATACAGACTACGAGATTTGTGGTTGTGGCTAATTAGAAATGGACTTCTAAAATTGAGTAGCACCTTTCAAATGACATTCCACTTTTTTATTTATTTATTTTTTACCTGGGCCTTTAGTTCACTAATATGTAATGTCGTTGTTTTAATCTTTGTTTTTATTATCTAGCCATGTAAGTGGCCCACACAAATGACAAATGTAAACATCTCTCTCTCAAAACATTGAAGGCTTCTTGTTAATGACTTGCATGTACATGAAATTGGATTTGTTATAAACAGTTTGTGTTGCAGCAAAAATGATGGGCACTCTGGGTCTCTCTAGATTGGCTGTTTTATCAGCTTAAGTTCTGAATTCCAGGATGTGATGCAGAGTTTTGGATAAAGTTAGACTCCGTCCTTCAACTTACTGATTCATTTTTTTTTATTTAAAAAAAAAAAAAAAGACTTAAAAAAATTCATACTTTGAAAAGTAATATATATGTTACTTTTTTTCCTTCTACTACAGTCTATTCTGTACCACAGGCATCACCCTGTTTAGCAAACTTGTATACATTAGCAAATGTTCAAACTAGCCTTATCTAAAACCCTGGTCTTCAGAAACTCAAAACCTTTTCAAACAGATCTTCAATTTTGCCGCAGCACAGACTGGAGAGTATTTTTGTGCTCTATTGATTGTCTATGGTTCTGATATCTGACCTCGTCTACCAAGCCTTCTAGTTTGTCGATTTTAGGGACGCTGGACCTTTGACCAACAGGACGCACTCTGTCACGAGCTGGGGCCAGGGCAGTCAAGCCTTATGGGCGGAGGGGGTTCCCTTGGTTCTAGAAAAAACATCTTACAGTTATGCTCTGGATGTAGAATGGGAATTTAGTCTAGCTGCCCTTGCACTAACTATTGTAGGCTTAGGTCCTCCATAGTTTTGTTAGAAGCATAGGATTTCTTTCCCCTTCCAAACAGGAATATATTCCCCCTCCCTTTCAGTAGAGAAGCTAGCCTACCATCAGCTACACATAGTCTTCTTCCTCTCAGCAGTTCCAAGTTCTCAGTAAGGGTCACGCAGGGCAGTGTACTGCAGGCCATTCTGCCAGGGACAGGGTATAGCTCAAGATCTCTTGGGAGCCTCAGCTGCCCTCTAGGAAGCTGCCTCATCCCCTCTCCACCTGACAGAACCCCCTTGGTCAAACTGTGCCTTGTCTTCTTATTCCATCCACGAATAGAAACGCTATCAGTCAACGACTCCCCGGACGTTCTGGACAGGCAGAAATGCCTTGCTGCCTTGGCGTCACTCCGACACGCCAAGTGGTTCCAGGTTTGCATTTTGTTCTTATATTTGTCTTTAAGTAGAAAATTTGTAAAGTTTAACTGGCTAACTTTTATCTTAAAATACGTAAAACATTGGACAGTAGTTAGATGTGCTGAATTTAGCGTCTGTCAACGGCACAGTTGCTAAAGAAGCACTTAAGTGAATTTAACATTCAAAGAAGAAACTTATTTAATGAGTAGATGCATAGCTGCTGCTTTGTGTTAAGAGTAATGTTGCTTTTGTACACTGTAATTTCTTTTTAAGTTCTAAATTGTAATGTTGTGAATCGATTTTTTTTTCTTTTTTTTTTTCTTTTTTTTTACCCTTGACAAAGTAGCACTGCAAAAGTGAATGTCTGCAGATTTTTTTTTAACGGGTTTCTGGATTTTTATTAAATGTGCTTCTGCTTGATTACTTATTCTAGGCCAGGGCTAATGGGCTGAAATCATGTGTCATCGTCATCAGGGTGCTGAGGGATCTGTGTACTCGTGTTCCTACTTGGGCGCCGCTTAGAGGATGGGTAATTTTACTTACTTATTTCTGTAACGTTGTGTTATGTCTCTGTTAAAGTATCTTCAGTTTCACAATGCTCCATTTTTAGAAATTGTGCTTTTTGAAGGTATACTTGCAGCTTTCTACAGCATAAACTCACTTAAATTCACTGCAGAAATTCAAAATTCTAAACTCTGGACAGTTGCAGCACTCAACTGAGCCACATGCATTTGCTTCCCTCACTTTGATTAAAAATGTTTTTCAGCCCCTAGAGCTGCTGTGCGAAAAATCGATTGGAACAGCTAATCGACCAATGGGAGCTGGCGAGGCTCTGAGACGTGTTCTTGAATGCCTTGCGTCAGGAATTGTGATGCCAGGTTAGGTGGTTCTCTGTATTTGAATTTCAAACTAGAAGTTGTAATTGAATGCAGATGAAGCTTGGTACGTTTTTTATATTGTCTCGTATTTCCAAGGCGTCCCTCGTGTATGCACAGTTTGGATTTAGAGCTTCCAAAATAATGTAGCATATACAGGTACTACCGTACCTCGGTATTACCTAGGGCATATGTGCTTAAAGCAATGGACCCATGACATTTAAATCTTTTAGGGAGAAGGATCAGATTCTATGAACACTAAACTGGTTCTCTTTCTAAGGGGTTTCAGCAAGCTTCACTTATAACTGTACTTGTAAAATAATCCAGATACATTTCCAAATGTTGGACATTGGATGGATAATATCAGTTGTGGGTGTTATATAGATGAGTGTTGATGGATGCCAAGGGAATACTTAGTTTAGTTTCTTTAGAAACACCAGGATAATTCTCTGCATATCTTCCTTGTTTCCTGCCTTCAGATGGTTCTGGTATTTATGATCCTTGTGAAAAAGAAGCCACTGATGCTATTGGGCATCTAGACAGACAACAAAGGGAAGATATCACACAGAGTGCTCAGGTATAGTTTTGACTACAGATGTTACAAAAACTTAATGAGTTCAATTGACTCTGAACTTCTATATTGGTAATGGTAGTATAGTAACCTCATTGAGGTTGGTTTAACTTTTTTTAATTACCTAATCAAGTAAATACGAATGGGTCCCACACCAATAAAGGAGTTTATAGTTTGGCCCACCAGAAGCAAAGCATCAGGCGTTATGTAGTGACTTACCACCATTGTTTAGATTTTGGGTTGAACTTGGAATTCTGAGGAGTGTCATATATAAACCAGCGAGTCTCTGTGCAAGGGTGGGTAGAAGGTTTGCCTGGAACTCTGCAGTGAACAAATGCTTCTTTAGCAACTTGTGCATCTCGGTAACATGTCTTTGGTCCTTATAGCATGCACTGCGCCTTGCTGCTTTTGGCCAGCTTCACAAGGTGTTGGGGATGGACCCCCTACCTTCCAAAATGCCCAAGAAACCAAAGAATGAGAACCCAGTTGACTACACTGGTAGGTGTTTAAGTCTTAAGAACATATAAGTGCTCAGAATAATTACTTTTATCTTGGAATAATTGGTAGAGTATGTAATTGCTCTTCTTCTGGTTCTTACAGTCCAGATTCCCCCCAGTACAACGTATGCTGTCACCCCAATGAAACGCCCTATGGAGGAGGATGGAGAGGAGAAGTCTCCCAGCAAAAAGAAAAAGAAGATTCAGAAAAAAGGTATTGAGTTAACAAGAGGTAGGTGTAAATTGCTGCCTAAAAAAGAGATTTTCAGATTAAATGGGGGGGGCATGTTACAGAACTCTTAATGTATAAAGGTTTGAACTGTTGTAAATACAAATGGCAGGAAGTGGGAGTAGAAATAGGGTTTTTTTTCCCTACTGCTTTAAGGCTTTTAAGACTCCACTTGCTATACAATGTAAACTCCCAATCTAAGTTTCTATGCAAGGACTATGCAGTGATTTATATTGTAACCACTCTTTTTTCTGAAAACAGTTTGTTAGTCTTAAAACAAACATGAACATCTGACAAAAGACGCATTGTGTTCTTCCCTTCAGAGGAAAAAACTGAACCTCCCCAGGCTATGAATGCACTCATGAAATTAAACCAGCTAAAACCTGGACTCCAGTACAAGCTGGTTTCTCAGACTGGTCCAGTTCACGCGCCTATCTTTACTATGTCTGTGGAAGTTGATGGCAGCACATTTGAGGCATCGGGACCTTCTAAAAAGACAGCCAAATTGCATGTGGCAGTAAAGGTAAGAGTTTGTGGGGTTTTTTTCATATGTAAATATTTAACAAATTGCCTGCCTTAAATAGCCCAGCAGCTACTCTTTCAAGCCTGAAAAGAGAAACTTCCTTGATTAACTGGAAAATTGGGTTGGCAGAATTCATAGGCCCTACAGGACTGACGAAAGCATATCTCATGTAGTTGAAGTACTGAAATCAGAGCAGTCCAAGAGGCTCTTCCCTTTCTGCTGTTGAATCGCCTTCATAGCAGAGTCTTGGGGGAATGTCTGAAATCTCCTGGGAGCTTCATCAGGAAGAGTGCTGAACCTAATGCTTCATTGAGTAAAGTCTAGGCACTTGCCCAGGTATTGCCAATTACAGAGGCATGGAGATGGGTGTCGGGTCTTTCTAAAGAACCCCCTTTTTTTTCTCCCTCCCAGGTGTTGCAGGATATGGGTTTACCCACAGGAGTTGAAGGCAAAGAGTCTGTGAAAGGAGATGAGTCAGCAGAGGAAACAGAGCAAAAACCAGTAGTTGTCGCACCTCCGCCTGTAGTAGAAACTGTGTCTACACCCAGTGCTGCCTCTCCTCCCTCAGAGCAGACTACAGAGGTAAATGCACACTCTGAATCTTTTAAGTGTTATCCCTGCCCTTCAAAAGAGGGGTTAGTTGCTCAGGGATCTTTTACTTTGCTCATGGATTCCAATTGAAGCACATGTCCCCATGTTTCTGGTAGAGCATTTGTTAAAAGCATCTCTCAAAACTCCTATTGTAAATCCCATAAAATATTATAAAGCCTACCTTCTCTCCCCCCCCCCCCCCCCCCCCCCCGAGTCCTAAGCAAGGAGTCTAATAAGACATCAAGCAGATTAATGCAAAATAGACATTGCTTTCTGCTCTTTTCTTATTTTGTCTGTTTTTGCTAACAATAAATGATTGTAATTAGTAACAGGTGTAAAAAGTGAGCTCAGGTAGATTTAGTTTAGTTGTGGCCTTGAGACTAATATTCTCAATTATAAAAGCCACAGGTGGTTTTGGTAACTCAGTGTCTAGCAGCTTTTAGAACCTTTAACACAGCTCCTACTTACTTCAGAATGTGAAACAGCAGGGACCAATTTTGACGAAGCATGGGAAGAATCCAGTGATGGAACTGAATGAGAAGAGGCGTGGCCTAAAGTACGAGCTGATTTCCGAAACCGGTGGCAGTCATGACAAGCGCTTTGTCATGGAGGTGAGCTGACTTCTTTTTTTTATGATCCTCTACATCTGAGGTTTAAACTTAGATGCACTCAAATATTAATACCCTGATCTAGTTACAGTTTCATCACACTTATGCTACTTGCTTGGCATTGATGCATCTTCCTCCTATACATAGACCTTGCCCTGTGGGCGAGGTGAATGTGATGACGGTTATCTAGCTGTCATTCATACTGTGATGCTTCAATTTGTTTCAAAGGTTGAGGTGGATGGGCAGAAATTTCAAGGAGCTGGTTCAAACAAAAAGGTGGCAAAAGCTTACGCTGCTTTGGCTGCGCTGGAGAAGTTGTTCCCAGATGCCCCTGTTCCCATTGAACAAAATAAGAAGAAAAGAGCTCCTGTCCCTGCAAGGGGGGGACCAAAATTTGCAGTTAAGGTAAGTGAATCCATTGGTTAAGTGCTTCTGCCATCTGTACTGTGATCAGATTTAATAGTGTTTGTAATTTCTGTGCCAGCCACTGGCAGAATGGGAGGGGGTGTAATACCATTTATAAGAGAGATGGATGACACAAAACTATTCAGAGTAGTAAAGACCAAAGTGGAGTGTGAGGAACTATAAAAGAAACTGGCTTGATTAATCGAATGGGCAACTAAATGGCAGATAAAATTCAATGTAGATAAGTGCAAAATGATGCACCTGGCCAAAAATAACCCAAACTATACCTACATTATGATTGGCTCTATATTATCTGTTCCCACACAGGAAAGAGAGATGGGAGTTGCTGTGGACAGTTGGCTAGAAACATCAGCTTAGTGCTCATCAAACAAAATGTTAGGGCAGGGGTAGACAATGTTTTTTGGCTGGAGTGCCAAAAAACACCACAATGCCTACCTTGGAAGGTGCCGGAGTGCCGGCATACCAGGAAAAACAAAATGAGGGCAAGGGGGTACATGGCAGGATGCCCAGCCCTGCTGCCCCATTCCCCCATCCCGGGCTCTGGCTGTCAGCAGCTACCCTGGCTCTGGGTAGCTGCTGGAGCCTGGGCTGCTCCCAGCAGGGCTTGCAGCTGCCTGCTGGGAGCAGCCTGGGTTCCTGTCTGGCAGCAGCTACCCAGAGCTGGGGCTGGCTGTAGCTAGGAGGCTGCAAACAGCTGTGCCTGGCTCTGGAGGCCTGGCATCAGCTCTATTGGTGTGTGCCTGTGTGCCTCAGAGCAAGCAGTGGGGGAGGGGCCTGAGGCAGTGCAACCCCCATCTCTCCCCTGCTCCCAGCACAGAGCTGGTGATTGGGCTCCGGAGCCTGGCGTAGCTGTTTGTAGCCAGCTTGGGCTCTGGGCAGCTGCAGCAAGCAGGCTGCAAAACAGCTGCACCAGGCTCCACAGCTCCACCATCAGCTCCATGCTGGTGGTGACTGTGCACCTCAGGACGGGCTGCGCTACCCTGCTGTCTGCCATGCTCAGTAGGCATGCCAGGAGTTGCTGACCCCTGTGTTGGGGATTATTAAGGGAATTGTAAACAAAGCTGAAAGTATCATCATGCCTCTTCATAAATCCATGGTGCATCCACACATTGACTCCTGTGCCAAGTTCTGACCCCACACCTCCGAAAGGATATAGAACTCTAGAGAGGTTCCAGAGAAAGGCAGCAAGGATGATGAGCGCTATGGCGGGGCTTCACTATGAGGAAGGACTAACAAGGCTAGGTCTAATCAGTTTAGAGACCTTTTGAGAGGGAGCGTGAGAGGGGTTTACAGAATACTAAACTGAAGAGAAAATCAATAGGGATTTATTAATAGGGGTCAAAACATGAAATGAGTTGGTAGTAAATTTAAAATTAACACAAGGCAGTTTTTGTTCACACAGCATATAATTAAAATGTTGAACTTGTTGCTGCCAAACGTGGTGGAAGCTGAGAGTTCAGCAGATTCAAAAAGGGATTAGGCACATTCTTGGAGGAAAGGGGCATCAGTAGTTACTGAGCATGGGAGTGAAGGGCACAGCCTCTGAATCAGAACTTCCTAGATCTTAAATGCTGGATGTTGCAAGTGAGAGAGAAACAATGGAAAAAACCCTGGTCAGATCCAGTTCACTCTCACTTTCAGCATCCACAGTCTGCCAGTGTGAGACACAGGAGATGGCTAAATGGACCTATGGTCTGACCCAGTCAATGGCAGTTCTTATGGAGGCTAGCACCCATCATCACAAAGCCACCACCCAGAAATATTTAAGTTCTCCATTCACGCTGCTAGATTCTTCTGCCTTAAGCTCAAAGGACACCATGTCAGAAGTTGCCCAAGTCATAACCTACGAAGGTAGACAGATGCATAGTTTGACACTGTAGTCTAGCTAATTTGGCTACCTTTTTGGCCTCAGTTTCCATGGGTTAATGGATACGTTGCATTGAACTCGAGAAGCAAAAATAAAAGCTGTCTCACCATGGTGGCACTTTCTTCTTTAGAAACAGATGTGTAACTGGTCTCTGCCTTTTTCAGCAACATAACCCTGGTTTTGGAATGGGTGGCCCCATGCACAATGAAGTGCCACCGCCTCCCAACATGCGTGGCCGCGGTAGAGGAGGCAACATGCGTGGCCGTGGTAGAGGCAGAGGGGGATTTGGTGGCAATCATGGTGGCTACATGAATTCCGGTGAGTTTGCAGGCTTGGCTCATTTTGTTAACTTGTCCTCTGTTTTTTAAATATAACTAATAAGAGTTCATGGCTTGAAAGCATAGAGCTAGCACTTGCATGTCATTAATAATAAACCACTGTAGTTCCTATGTTTCATGAATTAGATCAGTGGTTTCTGAGCCATTCCAGCCCTGTGGGACCAGCTTGTGAGCGTTTCTCAAAGCCCACCATGAACTCTGAAACTTCTATTAAAAAAGGGGTAGCATGGGGTGGGAGGCCAGCAGGATATGTGGACCAGCTGTGAGCCTTTTCCCATGGGCTCAGACCAGTTTATTATCCAGTTGATTAGAAAGGGAAGCCTTCATTATAATGAGGTTTGATTCCCCTGTATTAATAGAAAATGAGTGTCTTACAGTACTTCATTGCATTCTAGGAGCTGGATATGGAAGCTATGGTTATGGAGGCAATTCGGCAACAGCAGGCTACAGTAAGTGTTCATGTTTTAAACTCTCTGAAACACAGCACTCTTCTGGGGTTAGTAAAACACATTGGGTTACGACATGCCATGAATATATACCTGTGCTTGAAGCCATCATAGTGGGTTCTCTCACTTTTTTTTGGAAATGAGAAATTATGAGAGATGGCTGAATCCAATGTTTTAAAATTTAAACTCGAATCCAGGTGACTTCACGTTTCCTCTTTTAAAAATGTGAATATTTTAAATTTCTCTGCTTTAAGCCATGTGAAGCAACCCACCACTCTTGTGAATATGATTTTCCTGAAAATACCCAGCGATTGGTCTTGAGAAGAAGCCTTCATTGGGGGGTGACAGGAGCAGAGAAATCTAAAACATGACTTTCAAATGTGGCGCATTTTGCCATCTTCAAAAGAATTCTAATTTTTTTCTCTGCTCTGTCTCCCCCTTTTGTAGGTGACTTTTTCACAGACTGCTACGGCTATCATGATTTTGGGTCTTCCTAGATCATCTAAAAGTATTGCACAAAAAACAGCTTTTTACTCCAATTTTCTCGAACTCCAAAACCCAAAGTGTTCGTGCTGTGTCCCTGTGCTTCACTGGGTTTCTCAACAGTGGCTTTTCACCGCAGCTTGTCTGAAACTCTTAGCCTGCAGAACTTTAAGACAGTAGCAGTTTTTATTGTGATTATTTGCCTTTGAACTTGGTTGTATTGATGTACACAACAGGGGAAATTAATTATGAAAGAATGTTTTTGTGCAGTTAGCACAAATTTCAAAGCCAGCTCTGTTCAGCATAAAGGCAAAAAGCCCACCTTTTGCTTTTTATGGAAAGCATTCTTTTTTTTTTTTAAGAACCGATTACTCAAGTGTTTTAATCTACCTTTGTCTTAATTTATGGCAGGTTTTGTACAAAATTTACACCTTTTAATAAGCCCCAGAACTTGGGTAGATGCCTCTGATATTAGGAAGGCTCTCAACATCTCTGAATCTAGTACAGCCCGGCTTTTTAAGCATGCAAAATTGTTGACTTGTATGTGGAATCTTTTATGTGTTGAACTTAAACTTTACACACCCTTTGTAATACACTGGTGATAAATGCTGGAGGGATGTGACTTAGTGTACTTTCAAAGGTATTGTAATTGTGCTTCCAATACTGGTACAATAAATATCCAGGCATTAAGGAGTTGATGTAAAAAAAAATGTTAGTCTTGATAACTTCTTAAAATGCATGGATTTTGATTAGTGACATGAAAGTGGGCTTTTTTTGATTCAAGCATAAAGGGCCTAAAGCACTGACCCCTTCCCTTCCCTTCCCTTCCCTCCTTCACCATGCCCCACCCACCTTAAAATGGCTGCAAATTTAGCGGAGCGGTCGTTCAGGCCATCTGCAAGGTGTAGTGTATGCCTATTGCCCTTAAAGCAGAAGTACTTTGTAGGCTGGAAAATAAATAAAATTTCACATAAGTCACAGGGAATAAATTGGTCGTTTAGACGCAAGCCTTTTATGAAATGTCAAGTGTGTGGTCCTTTATTCTTGCCAAGCATTTGTGTTGTATTTTCTTTGTCACTGTTCTTTTTTCTTTTATTCTTTTTTTTTTTTCTTTAGCTGCAAAGCCTGCACCACTGCATTAATTTAATTTGAGGCTTAACATTTTGAGTTAACTCAGTAATTTAAATTGATGAGAATACTATCCTGTGAAACATCAGATTTGAAATTTTGCCCAAGGAAAGTTTCAGATATTTAGTGAACAATTTTTAAAAACAAAAATTAATGCATACCCTATTTTTTTTAGAAAGTTATTGTTTGAGATGATGTCTTCTTTTTTATACAAGGGAATAGATGTTGTCCTGAATGAGGTGAAAAACTGCCATTTTTTTAAATGAATACATGTTAAAGTAACTACTTGTGTGTTGGATATTTTTATTCATTGGCTTTCAGGGGAGTAAAAGAAATTAGCTCCAGGTGTTACTGTTAACGTTTCGTACTTAAATATGAAGTCTGTGCCTGAATGGAACAGTTGTAGAAACCGTTTTAACTCTTCATTTCGGAAGAGTGTTGGCTTCTGCCATTTTGCAGTCAAATGGTTCAAGTCCCAGACCTTAATTTTCAGATCTGGAGAGGTTCATGCATTCATTCCAGTGATCTACTTGAACCAAAGACTAGAAATTAAGTACCAGTGATGGAGCAGGGTACCTTAAATTTACATGGAGCACAGAAATAGTTCGTTATGCTCCAGTTGCAGCCATAACTATATTTTAAATCTTCTTGGGCAGAGAGAGAGAGATTAAAAAACAAACAAATGAAAAACCCTTTGTCTAAACTATACACATGGGAATAAAAAAACCATGAATCATGCAGTACAGAAAATCTAATTTAGAGGGTGAGATGAAGAGTAAATAGTCTTATTATTAAGCATAATGTTAGTTTTAAACCAACACAGTAACTAAAAAGTTTAGATGCCTTCAAGAACCAACTCTGGGAAAAGAAAAAATTGGAAACAAACTGATTCACCCATTCAGATGTCCAGTCCAGGCTTTGCAAGCAGGAAGTGGCTGAAACAGAGCAAATATTTATTCGTTGGCTTTTGTGATCTTCATTCTTTGGAGAAGGAATACATTCTCCTGCTATTTCCCTGTGGCTTCCAGAGCCATTTAAACTAACCAGGCCATTTCCTGGGGCAGTGGGTAGTCTCCCAGAATGTGTGCTATGGATATTGGATGCAAGAGATCATCTAGATCCTGGCAGCTTTTGTTTCTTGCCAAACAAAAAGACTTTTACTCCAAAAGTCTGAGCAAAGTGTGTCTGCTCCCATCACCCATTTTTAAAGTTGGCTGATAATTTAATTGAGCAGTCATTAAGTTGGGCTGCAAAGCAATTGCTCAGTAACTTAAGAATCTGCCTGTATTACCACATGGAGGTAGGGGTCTAAAGGTAACTAGGACCTGATTTTTCTGTGTACCTTTGCAGTGGTGTCTGGTAACCCTGCATGATGTTGGCTTTTTTAAGTCTTCGTTACAGAAGTAAGTTGACTTCCTTGTCGCCATTTCTTTCTGCAGTAGAGAGTTAAATTTCAGTAGTTACTGATGACCCACTCAATTTCCAATGTAACTTTGAGCACCAGATAAATACTAGCTGCTTGCCAAACGTGAAGTTAATAACCATGAAATATTGTAACATGCATGGCGAGGGGGGGGAATGGAATTGCTCTCAACTTAACTCTAGAATTTGGAGTAATCCTTAGCAGGAATTAAGTCTATGGGGAATGAGGTCAGAGCTGTTAATGAGAAATTCCAGGGTATAACTGGAAGATGGCATCATTTCAGTGTATCTAGAAATTATCTGTTTCCTTAAACGAGCAAAACATTACACAGCTTGGTTTTGCGTGGAATTTCTTAAATCCTTCCTCCAATGTGAAGATCAAAATAGTCATAAAACTGGCAACCTTCCAGCTGTGAGGTAAGGTATATAACCCCTTAGATAGCATTCTTTAGGGGAGATACCCAAGGCCTGGGAATACATCTGCCCATCAGAAACACTGCGGCATTTGAAACCTAACTTGTGCTTCTTCTGTTTAGGCCAGTTTTATAGCAATGGGGGACACTCTAACTCCGGTGGTGGCGGCGGCGGCGGTGGTTCCTCCGGGTATGGCTCCTACTACCAAGGTGGTGATAACTACAACTCGCCGGTACCACCTAAGCATGCTGGAAAGAAGCAGCAGCACGGAGGACAGCAAAAACCTTCCTATGGTTCAGGGTATCAGTCCCACCAAGGCCAACAGCAGCAGTCGTATAACCAAAATCAGTACAGCAACTATGGCCCCCCACAAGGCAAACAGAAAGGATACAATCATGGCCAAGGCAACTACTCATCATACTCTAACTCCTACAACTCACCTGGTGGTGGAGGCTCGGACTACAACTATGAGAACAAATACAGTGAGTGGTGGTTTGTCTGGTTGAAAAGGGCGGGGATGGCAGTGAAGGCCAGCTGTGAGGTTCTCTCACAATATATCTAAACAGACTTGGGACTGCTGGCTGTTATTATAGTTAAAGCTGTGCTTGGAGGGGGTAGAATCAATAAGCAGCATGACCCAGGGGGAAAAAGAGCCCAGGTGAGTGCTTAGGCTTAAGTGGCTGTACTTGAGGCAGAGTCATGCCTCCATGGAGAATATTGCTGGAGTCTTCAAGGGTTAGTGAGTGGTACTGGATTAAGTATTCCCAAGCCCTGCTAAGACTTGGCTGTTATGGTCAAGATATTTCAAACCCAGATTTCATTGTCAGTTTGTATTACTCTGAAGTTTCCTCATCTTCAGTTAGGAATTTGAGTGGGTTTGAAGAAGATGAGAATAAGTGTTGCTCCATGGGGCACACCTAAAGGAAAGCTGGTTGTCATTGGTACTGCCTGGCCCTCAACTAGGTGTCTGCATCTGCCTACGGATGTAGGAGATTGCAAGCTCAGAGTGCCAGGCCTGTTGCATGTAGCAGGCTTTGTTTGCTGCCAGTTCTGGGCCCAAGTGGCAGGAGACTTGTTTGCTGGGCTTAAAGGTGTCCCCCAAATTCTTTGTTCCATATGTAAACAGAATCAGGATGCTGGTATGGACACAGAATGGATGTCCTCACCTCTCCCTGGGTATAAACAGATCAGAATTTGGGACCAGAGTTTGTTTAAATATTTTAGGTGCCTGTTTTAAACAGATTATTTTGCTGTCAAATAGCAATTCACTAGTTTAGCCTGGAACTCTTTTACTGATCTACCCTATCCTAATGCTACGTTCCTTGAAAATGGCTTTGTACATATTTTCTTAGCAGGTTAGCCAAGGCCTGTGCTGTGTCCCTTGTTTTAAGGGTCTTTGCTTCTGGGTTAGCTCTGGTACTATCCACCTTTATCAGTTTAGTTGGTAGCTTTATAAGAATAAACATGAGTAGGCAAACGAGTAGAGTTGTAAATCGGAGCACACCAGGTCACTAGTCAGAGGCCCTACACTAACACCCAAGTAGCTTTAGGAGATCATTTAAATTTGGTGGCCCCAAGCAGGTGCCTTGGAGAAAGTACTCAAGCCCTGGCTCTTCACAGCAGGCTGGGGTTTCTGACTTGCATGCAGTCTTTCTGCAGCCCTGGGTCAGACAACATGCATGCGCACACGCAGAGGAGCAGCACTATAATAGATGGGCACTGAAGTATTCTGTGCACCGTTTTGCTTAAGCCTCCAATATTTTGGAAGTGAGGCCTGCAAAGCTTTTACCAGCCAGAGGCTTTCTTTTAATTGGACACTTGGCAATCGCTCTTTGGCAATTAGTGAGACGAGTCCGGAATTGTGTGCTGATGGTCTCTGCATTCACAAGACATCCTGTTCCAAGAGCAGAGCAGTGTGCTGTACAGCCAGCTTTGTTAAGCTTGTGTTCTCCTTTTGCAGGTTATGGTGGTGGTGGTGGCGGCCGTGGTGGAGGAAATAACTATGGGTCAGGAGGTTCCTCGTACAACACTGGATCACACGGTGGCTATGGGGGAGGATCTGGGGGAGGAGGGTCCTCATACCAAGGTAAACAAGGTTAGTATACGGCACTTTTTTTTTCTCTCTCACATGCCGCACGCTAAGATAACTGCTGGTTTTTCTGTGCATTCTGCATCACAGCAGTTCACACCAGATTTTCCTTTTCATTGCATGTTCCCTTGTTTGTCCCACAAGGAAGTAACACCTCCCCTCTCTCCCTTTCAGGTGGATATTCTTCTCAGTCCAATTACAACTCTCCAGGTTCAGGCCAGAACTACAGTGGACCCCCCAGCTCCTACCAGGCCTCTCAAGGTGGCTACGGCAGAAACGATCACAGCATGAATTACCAATACAGATAAACCAGCCCCTTCTCCATGGGTGTGAAGTTTTGTTACCTTCCGCACTTGCGCACCCTTTGAATATCAGTTTTATTGCATCACAGTAAACATGTAAACCCCCCCGTTTCCATGTTGCAGTGCTCTTTGTGATACCAGTCACTAATGGTTGAGTACCTGTATTTCCATACTTAGCTGTATTTTGGACATCTATGTATTTAATGGTTTGTTAGTTGCCATTACAATTTGTCTAAATAGGGTTTTTTGAGTTAATACAATTTCAGTATCCTTTTTCTATTTAAAATAGACGGTGCATGACCGTGGTATGGCTTTAAATAGAGAAGGGATATGTCATCTGTTAATGCTTTTGTGAAGTGAGTTAAACGAGCTTTCTGTATTTTAATGCTTTAGTGTTTCAGTTTTATAAGTGAAGATTTTATTTTAAAAACCAGTGGGGAAAAGAGTGGGTTTTGTATGTCTGAATCATTCAGGCAGTACATCTGGATTAAGCTGAATGTAGACAAATAAACACAAACTCTTGATGTCGTTGTCTCCCAAACATGTAGCTTATACCTGTTTGCAGTCAATAACCTCTTGCCTTTTTCTTTTTGCACCAATGTCCCAACTGCTGAATTTAAAGTGTGAGCCATGTGTTTGATACAGTGTACCTAGAAGATCCTGGAGGGGAGGGAGAATACAGAGGAATAGGGGATGTGGTAGCTGTCTCTAAAAATAGAGTCCCTCCCAAGTTTTGCTTCCTGATTTTCAGAGTTAACTCTGATTGCACTTCTGACCATTGGTGCCAGTACTGCCAGGGCTGGGGCAGTGCCTCCAGTAGCAGTTATAGGTAGAATAACAAGCCCCTCGATGCAACCATGGCATCTATCAACTCTGGCTTTGGGGGGTTCTGGTCCTGACTGTATGGGCCTCCATGAAGCTGCCACCATCCTCCTGAGGGGAGAGGGACTTAGCTGGTATTCCTCTCCTTTTCTACAGCTATTAGAAGTGCTGCCTTGTTCTGGGAACACAGGGCCTTGGCATGGTGGGTTGCCTTGAGCATATGGTGGAAGGTGGCTCTCCAAAGAGAAACTAGGGCAGAATTAAACTTTATCATGATAGTGGGGCTGCTGGCTTGTACTGTGCTCAGCTGGCATGAGGTGTGCTGAGCAGAAACCACTACTGTATGCCAATCTGTCTGAAATGCAGGAGTTGCCCACTAGATGTTGCTACCACTGTGATGAACCAACTTCAGAGCCAGTACTTGCTGCTAGGTTTTCTGACCTGCGTATTGGCTATCACACCAGACTTCCATCCACCCTTACCCTTCTCTTCCTCTTCCTTCTCTTTTGCCAGCTCTTTCCAAAAGCAACTGGAGCTCTTCTCTTGGATCTCTCCAGCCAGTCAGTGCTGCTGATAATATCACTACAGTACCTCTGTGTGGGGAACAAAGCAGGAAGAACCAGTCCTTTCTCTCCTCCTCCTCCTCTTCTTCTTCTTCCCCCCCCCAAAAAAAAAAAAAATATCCCTGCCAGCTTCTAAGTTAAGGCACTGGAGAGCCTGGGTTGAATGCCCAGTGAGATGAATGTAGCCACCAATGTGTGGTCAGCTCCTGTGTGATAATGTAGGAACATAAACCCAGCCTAGGGGCAGCCAGGCTGTGCTGCCTTTTAATCATCTGTTGTACCAGCAGAGACTAAGCTGGTAACTTAAAAAAAATAAATAAATAAAAAGTGTTCCAAGTCAAATCAGCCAAATCAATCCCAAATGTTGGGAGTCAGTCAAGAACCAAATGTGGCCCTGCTAACTGGCAAACATCCTCCACCCCTACCTGGGGCTTCAGATGCTTCCAAATCCTTTCGTAGGCATCCTCTGTGCAGGACCAAGCCCTGAGGCTTGGGGTTTGGATGCCCCCAAGTTTTGCTTGCCCTCAGCAGCAAGCTAGGGAGGAGTCTCCCATTTCCATAAAGTTGGTGTATAGCCAAGATCTTCCCACTAGAAGTGAAAGTGGGAGGCTAATTATCTCTTACCTCTGTCAAGGTACTATCACCTGCTAAGACAGTGTTTCCCCTGCAACTAGGAAAACCAACTTCTTGGTCATGGTGTTTCCCCTGCCAGGTGCTACCAGATTGGAGCCCCTCTGGAAGAAATAACTGATGCCTGTATGTGCTGCTTGGAGCAGGGCTGCAGCAGCTGTTGTCCCAGAGACAAAGGCACAGCTCCCCGTGCTGTTTTTATTTTTACACCCTGGATGTCTCTGGGATTTTATCCAGAGAAGTACAAGAGAAGCCAAAGCAGGTTCCTCTGAATGATACACCAGTTTACTGGGATATTGGCAATTAGGCAACAAGACCAAGAGCAACAGGCATGCTAGCAGGTTGTGAGACCTCACAATCCATACTCATGGTTTGAGGCAAGTGTCAGACTCCCACCTCTCTACTTTTGCATGGGAGAGTTTTATACAGTTCAGATTCAAGTTTCTGTGTTCCCATCTATTTCTCTGAAAGAAAGATCTATACTGCTGTGGGTAGAGGTTGGTGCTCCCAGGTTTAGGCTTGCTGTTTAGGCTGAGTTGGGCACAATCAGGGGAGTTCCAGGGAGCTGAACCACAGGTGAAGATGGAGGCTTCAAAGGGAGCTGGGAGACCTGTGAGAGATTTGGAGGCAAGGCAGGTCCAAGCTCAGATCATAAATACCCTCTTTCCTCCAACCAAGCAGCTCACTTCAAAGAGCCTCAAGCCAGCAGCTGAAGCAGGGAGGCGGGTAAAGGCTGATATCTGAGGCTGTTGCCTCAAAAGATCTGGAATCAGCTCCTTGCTGCTGGCATTCTGTTGCCTGAGATCTACAGCCTGGAGCTCACTGCCCTCTCCCCAGATGCAGGGGCCAGTGGTCCTTGGCTTTGGCACAAATTGCCCATATCGCAATCTCTCCTGAAACTTTCAGCCCCAGCGATCTTCCAAGCACTTAAAAAGATAAGCAGTGTTATACACATGGGGAAACAGGCATGTGAAGGAAGTGGCTTCTGGAAAGTTACCTCAGATGCAGGCTTCCAGATGCAGCTTCTCTTTACTTTCTGTCATGCTCTAGTCCAGGAGCAGGCGATTATTTTGGGCAGTGGGCCACTTAATGAGTTTTGGCAAGCCATTGAGGGCTGCATGATAGGCAGCCAGGGGCAACTAAATATTAGTTTTCTAAATTTTGGGGGGCCCTACGGGCTGAATAGAATGGCCTAGTGGACTGCAGCTGGCTCCCGGGCTGCATTTTGCCCACCCATGCTCTAGTCAAGCTTCACCCCTGCCCCTCTCCAGAAGCAGCTTTATCTCTGCTGCCTCCAGATGCCTGACAAAAGTCTCCAGAAAAATGCCCAAGGCACCCAGCCCCAGCAGCAAAACTAAGTGGGGGGAAAAAAAGGCATTAACAAAACCATAAGCTGTTTGTTTTTTCCTCATCAGCCCAGAGTGCTTTGGCCTGTCCAGCCAGAAACCAGCTGGAGCCACTGATTATCTAGATAATTTTATCAGGCCGTGAAACTCCGGCTGTGTGTTTCTGTAGGGTTAGAAAGCTGCCCTCTCTGCCAGCCATGTTTGGTAATGTCTTGGTGGCCAAACCCACCTCTTTAGCTGCTGAGCAAACAAGGGAGGATGGTTGATGCATGATGCACCAGAAGTCTTGGCCTATTTCTTCATGTCTCTGAGGTTTAGGGGGAGCCATGAGCTATCTTCCAGTTCTTGCCCCAGCCCAGACCACACACCAGGTGGCATTAGGCCTGATGCCTTTGCATCTTGGCTTGCCCCAGGTCTCAGATGGGAGTGGAGGTGAAATTAAGCTGGTGGTGGCTGAACTGGTCCTGATACCCCCATGGTTGGCTGGGACATGGGCAGTACAGTGGCTAAGGGCAGCCCAGTCTCACCCCATGAACCACTCTTAACCCCTGACCCACAGGGGGCTCAGGGCAGCTACTGCCCCTGCTCCCCCTCCAGCCATGCTTTGGGGGGCCTGAGCTACATCCACAGTCCCCCCAGATACTGCATTAGTTGGGGCAGGCACAAGAGGACCCTGTGCTCCATCTGCAGGTGATGTCACCCGTCTCCATGGGGAAGGGCAATGGGGTGGGGAAGATTCCATGGCAACCAGCGGGCAGTGGGGAGATGGGTTGCATAGCAACTGAGAAAGCACTTGGTTGGGATGGAACTATTCTTGGGGGGGCAGCTCATGTCCCCTGCTAGGACATGCCCAGCAGGATCACTGGGGACACCAGGGCTGGGTTTGCGTCATCCCTGGAGGAGGCAGTCATTGGCTAACAAGCACCACAGCTGCCCATGCCTGCCACATCAACTGGGGTATTAATGGACTTGGGGGTAATTAATGGAGCCCCTGGCTCCCCCCCCACTAGGGCTAGCTGCACTCTGCAGCTGCTGGCATTGGCTCCCAGCCTGTCTGGCTGCCCTTCACCCTAAATTCCAGGCACCTTCCAACTATGGGCCTTGCCAAACACCTGGGGGGTTTCAGGGAGGGTCTTGGGTCAGCCACTAGGCAGGGGTTGGGGATTCCAGATTGCATGTCCACACAGTCGTAAGGTAGAAGCATCAGACATGCCTTGGCCACAGCTCCCCAGGTTGTAGCTGTCCTCTCCAGAAAGCAAACAAGGTGGGGAGGGGGAAAACTGAGGCACTGGAGACCCTGCAGCTCAGGCATGGCTGGCTGGAACCCTGCCTCATGCTGCCTTTCCTCTTCCCAGCAGGGAGGGAGGAGTCTCCCACCCTCCCCCAGCACAGGGGGCAGATTCATATCCCCTTAGTCCCATGTACTTGTTGGGCCTCAGCCATGGGATCAGGGGAAACTGAGGCAGTGGTCTCTTCTGACTGGAGTAGCTGGGCAGAGTTTGGGGGCATTCCACCAGAGCTGGGGGCACCTGGAAGAGCTGCGATCGAGTGAGGAACCATTCTCTGATGCTGCTTTATTTCCAGAGCTTCTGGTTACAGGGGTGGGAGCAGCAGGATCCCCCCAGCCACTCACTCCTCCTAGTCATCTGCCCCTTTCTGCTTCCCCTGACCAGAGCACACAGCAGCATCAACCATGTTCCCAATGCCCCCCTGAGCTGGGGGTCTTTCATGCCGCACCACTAGTCTCCCTCCACCTATAGCCATGGGCACCGGCCCCACAGGGTGCCAAGCAGCTGACAGGGAGTCACCAGGCCTGGTGGAAAACCAGCCTGCATCCGAGCATCGGCGGGGGCTCCTGAAAGGGTAAGCATGAAGGGTCAGTCTCATCCTGCCTCCAGCCACCCACCCAAGCCCAGAGCTGCTGCCCCCTGCTGGATACCCCACATGTTGCAGCCCTTGGTGTCATAGATCCCATATTGCTGGGGCAACTGGAGATTCTCTATGGGCAAATGTGGCACTAGGGGGGGGGGCGGGGATTTCTTCCCCCAAGGGTGCCCCAGCTTAGTATCCACCTCCTCCACCTGCTGTTACCTGAGGCTGGCAGGCACAATGCAGTCAGGCAGGGAACGCCGCTGATACAGGAGGGAACTGCGGGGCAGTGCAGGGTCTGGGTGCTCCAGTGCCATCTCTTGAGCCAGAGTGGGGGGTGGAGATGAAGTCATGAGGGCAGAGGGAAGCAAAAGGAGTATGCCCATAGCCAAAGCAGTCAGAGAACCCACATTTCCCCCCCAACTCCCGCCTCCGCCACAGTCCCTGGACTCCTAAAATCCAGGGTTGGACTGGCCTTTGCCCAGGTGCTACCAGCGGACAAGGGAGTCCCATTTCCTTCATTCACACCCAGGGAGGGCAGCAGCAGCAGCAAGGGCACATCTACTCACCCCCGCTAATAAGGGTTGGGTTTGCCCACCACTCCCCCCTTGCCAGACCCTACCGTGGCTCAGCTGGAGCCCTAGCAGTTTCCTGTCCACGCAACTCGGCTCCAGCACCGGGCTCAGGACCTCCACCACCCTCCAACTCTGCAGCTCCAGCACCTTTGCCTGTGGGGCAGGGGCTGCATCCATCTTCAGCTGAGGAAAAGTGAGGGAGAGATCTGAGAATAGGCAGCTCCCAACCTCTTCACCATGACCCTCCATCCCCGCCTAGCCACAAGCTGAGCCATGGTGAGTTCTGGCACCAGAATCCAGCCCTGTGGGTGCTGGCCAAAGGGACCCTGGAGCCAGTGCCTGGTGTCATCCTGACTCCATCTTCACAGGGCCTTGAGATCAGGATAGGAATCTGGCCTCATTCTTTCAGGTCCCAGCAGCTGCAATGCAGCGGGTAGGGTACAGCTCCATTTCACAGATGGGGAAATTGAGGCCTGAAGCAATGCAGGGACTCACTACAACCACCCTCCCCCTCCAGTCATGCCAGGGCAAGGACTTGAACCCAGGCATCCCCCATCCCGGTCCTGAACTCACCCCTCATTTCCCTCCAGTCACATGGGGGCCAGGACTTGAACCAAGGTGTCCCCCACCAGGCACCTGGGCATGGAGGAGCGGGCACCCCACTCCCAGTCACAAACCCATAGAACAACTGAGTGGGTGAGAAATTAGCTCCTAAATCCCTGAGGCTCAACCTAGCAAGGGGGTGGGTGATTATTGCCCTGGCTCATTTCTGTCATCTGGTTGCAGCCCCATGGAAGACAGGCATGTAGTTCCTAAGTTGAGGAGAACAGGTTGGCACAGCTACTAGCAAACACCTAGAGGGATCAGCAGCACTTTATGGGCACCACAGTGGAGGCATCAGGGAACCCCACAACCATGCACCACTGCCAGCTAATGATCCCTTCTCCATCTCTAGCTTTTTGGGAAGAGCTAATTAAGCCCCTGGCTGTATTAAATGCATTCATTACCCACCTTCCCTGGGCAGGAAACAGTTGGCATCCAGGCAGAGAATAAGAGCATGCAGGGAACAGATGTGGAGGCAGCTTACTGCAGTCAAAGGGACCCCCCCCCCCCCGCAGATACCAGGGCAGCGCCAGCTTCAGTTTCCCCATCTGCAAAATGGGGAGAATCATTCTTCTTTTAAACAGCCCAGCTGCAGGGGGAGTGGGCTTTGCTGCCTCCCCTTCTGTTTCCATGAACTGGGGAGGGAATCAAAGCCAGCAGCTTTCATGCACCTTCCCACAACCCCATTTCAAAGCATAGGCCTCTTGTTGAATCTTTCCCCCTTCCGGGGTAGCCTAGGGCCAGAACCTCCTCTACTAGACCTCAGAGAAGCAAGGGGAATAGTCCCTTGTCTTTCTGCACCAGGCCTCAGGGGGCTACTACCCACCCCCACCAGGCTCTGGGCTGCAATTTATGCTTTCTGCCCACTGAAAAGCACCTGGCAGCTTGCCCTACCAAGGCACAGAGACCTCCAGCTATGGCCAGGGGCAAGACAAGACTGCAGCCCTCCCTACTGGGGAAATCCTCACCTCATCTGCAGCCTCAGCCATGATTAGCACTCTCCCAGCAGGGCTAAGGCAGACTGGGAAATTATCCCTGGTTTCACAGGCACTGACCTATTATTTAAGGCCCAGCATTACCCTGGACAAACCTGGCATCTGTTCAGAGCTGTTCACCACAAAAATAAAACTGAGCTGCAAGGCTAGAAAAACAACCATCCACGATGAATAAGAGCTGCACCGGCTTCCTATCTGCCTTGGTATAGATTATAGCAGGCAGCAATTAATTATATTCTGAGCAGCTGAAGGGGCCTGGCCCCAGCTCTTCACCACCTGAGCCCCCAGCCCCTTCCTCTACCTTCAGCTGCCAACTCTTCTCACCTCCCGAAGCTCTCCCTCTCGCCTGATCCTTCTTTTATACCCCTACTCCCGTGTCTCATGCCCTGGCTGTATGTCATCTTGCTTCCTCCCCTTCATTCAAGCTGAGGGAGGGGGTCCTGGCTTGGCAGTTTTGGGAGCAGGGAGGCAATGGCAGAGGGCAGTGGCTTGTCCATCTGCCTCTGGCTCTCCCCGTGTGGGTGTTTGTGGGGGGTGCAGTGCTGGCCCCATGTGGGACCTGAGGCCCAGAAAGAGGAAGACCCTGATCCCACAGGATATTGAGGCCCCTGATGCTTCCTCCCCCATTGAGGCTCTGAGCCTCAGCGACCCCGGCCTCCCCCGAATAAGACTCCATGACACCAGGAGCACCAGAGCAAAGCCCAGGGCCTGAGGCAGCCCTGGTCCAGGGTCATGGCTGGGCAGGAAGGAGGGGGCAATGCTGGAGATGAGGCTGAGCGGAGGCCAGGGTGGAGCCGGAGTATGGGGCAATGCGTAAAGGGACCTGGGGGTGGGGGTGGGGCTGGGATGGGCAACCCCCAACCTGCCCCACTGCAGGGGAGGGAGCTCCTGTCCCGGTGGCTCCAGGAGACAGGCCCCTGTCTGGGCCCGGGGCGTCTCCCACAGGGGCACATGGGGGCTTTGCTGCAGGACCCGGGGGGACTCAGGCCCTGAGGCCTGGTGGGGAGGCGGGAGCCAGAACACGGCGGCCTCGATTTCCCGGGCAACCGCTTCCAGTTGCCCAGCAACGGGTCTCGGGCCAAGATGGCGGCGCCCGGGGGAACGCCTCAATGTGACTAGGAGCACGGTTGGCGAGTCACGTGACGGTCTCAAAGATGGCGGCGCCCAGAGGAGCCCTGCCTCGGGCCGCTAGAGATGGCGGCGCCCAATGGGGTGCGCTGCCCACGTGACCAGGCAGAAGGCGGGAGGCCGGGAGGTCACATGACCAGCGCGCAAGATGGCAGCTCCCAGCGCGTGCGGCCCGGCGCTGTCGCTGCGGGTGGTGGCCGAGTGCGGGCGCAGCCGAGCTCGGGCCTGCGAGCTGCGGCTGCCGCCTGGCGCCGTGCCCAGCCCCGTCTTCACACCCGGGGGGGACCCCCAGCCTAGGCAGGAAACCCCCAGCCCTGCGGCCCCCAGCTAGGATCTGCCAGCTGGGCATGGCGGTGGGACAGTCCTCCCTCCTCCCTCCCTCACTCTAGGCAGAACCCCCCCAGCCCTCCCTGCCAGCCCCCTGCTGAGTACCCCCCATCCACCTCCCCCCCAACCAGGGCCCCTCCTACCCTGCCTAGGATCCCCCTGACCATGAGTGCTACCCCATTCTCCCTGCTGAGGGCTTGCCCTCCTAACCAGGACTGTTGCCTGGCCACAGACACCCTCCAGCCAGGACCGCCTGCCCTTCTAGCCAGATCCCCTCCTCCTTACCACATCGTCCAGCTGCATCATGATGTCTGACCCGGCATGGGGGTCTGCCCTCCTAGCCAGACCCCCTGCCCACCCCTTGCTGTCCTAGCCAGCTCCCCTCCTGCCCCTCCCTTGGATCCCCTTACTGGCACTGGAACCCTTTCCCTGTCTAAGATCACTCCTGTCCCCAGAAGGGACAGCCCCATGTCTTCCACCCTGGCCGGGGCCCCTCCCTGCCTTTCCAGGACTCCTGTGACTCTGGACCTTATCCCCCTTCCAGCACCTCATGCCATGCCATTAGACATGCCTCCTCCCTACTAGCCAAGGGGTGCATGGGATGAGGGCGATTCCCTGGTGCCTTCCTGCTTTGTCTCCTCTAGCAGCCTTGGGACTGAACCTGGGTATGTTTTCTTCCCCACCCCAGGGTCCTGAGCTCATCAAGCAAGCAGGCGGGCTCCATGGGTTCATGAACTGGCCATGCAACTTGCTCACGGTGAGTGTAGGGGGAGGGTGGCACCAGTATGGGACTTTTTGGTGCTTGGTCTGCATTGACTGGGGAAAGAGCTTCAAGGTTGATTGAACAACATCCCCTGAGCAAGCCCCCGGTGCCAGGTGAGGTCCCAGGCAGGAAGGGACTTCTGGGGGATGTACCAAGGGTAGGGAGCCACTTGTTGCCAGGGGCGTGGGTCGAGCTCAGTCCTGGCATTTTGACTGACTGTAGCATACCACCTGCCTTCTGTATAAGAAATAACAAGAGTGGGAGATAACGAGGGCAGGTGGGGTGACAGGGACAAGCTTGCACCGTTGGTCTCCAGGACTGGGGCCATGCATCCCTTGCCAGGGCTCCAGCTAGACTTGAGGGAGGGAGGGGCTGTCTTTGGGGTGCCAGGGCTGGAGGTGGGGGTTGGGAAGGGCCCATTCCTAGCCCTGCCTGTAGTTCCCTGTCTGCTGCTTCCTGCAACTATGCCTCAGTTTCCATGCCTAGAAAGTTGGCGTTGCACTTCTCTGCCTTGCTGGGGCTAACGTGCTTGTGTGTGGGGCTTGATCATAGAGAATCCTAGAGAAGTGAAGCCAGAAGGGACCTCCAGAGGTCACATTGAATCCCCCAACCCTGCCAGAGAGAAAACAGGGGGATCACAGCAGCCAACATCCTGGTTCTATAAAAGGTTGTTAATATACTTGAGAGATCCCAGTCAGAGGCTGCATCCCCACTACAGAGGGAGGCAATCCCCAATCTGTACCAATTTGACAAGGAGGGGTGGGGGGGAAATTGCTTCCTGGCCCCTAAATCTGGCATTGGTCTGATCCTGAGTGGATGGGCAAGACTTTTTAGCTAGGACACTCTGGGCTGAGTCCCAGCAGGAGCACTGGCACAGCCTAGTCACCAACCCCAGCCTGGGCTGCAGCCAACACCCAGCACCGTTGAGGAAGGCTGAAAAACATTCTGATGCATGTAGCAGAAAGGACAAGGATTGGAGGGGGGGGGTGTAACTTGCTGCCCTGATGTGGGCTTAATGGCTGAGAGTCCATATGTTGCCTTGTGCTGGTAGCTTTGGCATACAGCTGGCCTCCCTGCTACCCCTCACCCCTTCCTGGGGCATCTTAACAACACCCCCCTCCTCCCCCCCAACGACTGCTTCCCAGGACAGTGGTGGGTTCCAGATGGTCTCACTGGTGGAGCTGGCCGAGGTGACTGAGGAAGGGGTGCAGTTCCAGTCCCCATATGATGGTGGGCAGATCCTGCTAAGTCCAGAGAAGTCCATTGAGATCCAAAATGCCCTGGGTAAGTGTGGGGGATGGGGGTTGAAGTTTGCTGTGGCCCTGGTGTCTTCTGTGGTCCCCTCCACTGGCAGCTCCTGCCCTGGAACGCCTGTGGAGCCTTTGCTCCAGCCAGGGAGAAGTGGAGGATGCCTTAGCAGGTGGCTGATTGAATGCACTGCACCCCAGTTGGGGTTAATGGCGTGGGGGGTGCTGTAGAGGGAGTTGAGAGGCCATCTGGGAGCCATGACAGGAAGGCAGGAGCAGGGGAGCAGATCTATTCCTGGCAGATTGCTGGGCCCTGATCCAGGCACAGGAAGGCTTGGCAAAGGCTCGTGGTTAGAGCATGGGCTGCTGTGAGCCTGGGCACCTGGTTTCTATCCCAGCTCTAGTGGGGTTGGCAGGGCTGGGAGCCAGGATGACTGGGTTCTCTCCCTGGTATGGGAGGTCAGTGATAGCCTGTGGCTAAGAACCCCTGGAGGAGTTGGATGAGCCCCTATCCTGGCATCCCTCATGGCTTCAGCCTCATGCTGCCTCCATGCAGGGTCAGACATCATGATGCAGCTGGACGACGTGGTGAGCAGCACAGTCACAGGCCCCCGTGTGGAGGAAGCCATGTACAGGTGGGAGTGTTTCCAACCCCCGCCCCGCCCCCCCCAGCTCGAGCAGAGGTTCGCCAGGAGCTGGCATGGCCCCAGGGGTGGGAATCCAAATGTCTGGGTCACGTGCCCAGCTCCTAGATTCCTTGCCTCCGTCCTTTCTGACCTGGGGGAGGTTAGTCTGCGATCTGGGTTGCCTGCTCAGAACCCCTATTGATCCCATTCCCCCCTGCCCTTCTCCCCTTTTTCATAACTGTGGGGGGAAGCTGAGGCATGGGGTGACCTGGCCATGTACCTGCAGGTCGATTCGCTGGCTGGACCGCTGCATCGCTGCAAACCGCCACCCAGAGAAGCAGAACCTCTTTGCCATCATCCAGGGGGGCCTGGACCCTGCCCTGAGAACCAAGTGCCTCAAAGGTAAGACCTTCCCACCTCCAGCTCCTACTCAACCCCCACCCCCCCTCAGGCCTCAAACCATGGAGACAAGACATGGGGCTGGAAGGGACCTCCAGAGCTCACATCTAGCTCAACCCCCTGCCTAAGGCAGGATCAGCTATGTCCAAACCGTCCCAGATGCATCCATCATCTAAACCCTTTGTAAAACTGCCATTAGTCCTGACATGACACTAGACATCAACCCTGACCCTGCCACAGGAAAAGCAGGGGCACTGCGGCAGCCATTGTCCTGCTGTTGTGATGTTAATACACGCTCAAGAGACGCCAGGCAGAAACTGTGTCCCCACGGCAGATGAAGGCAACCCTGGTGTTGATGTGAGTGGAGGGGCAAGACCCTGTAGCCAGGACCCTCTGGGGCTGAGTCCCAGGAGGAGCATGGGCACAGGCACAGGCCAGTCACTGTCCCCAGCATGGGCTGCAGCTAGTACCCAATGCCTCTGAGGATGGTGGAAATAAACCCTCTGATGCCTGTAGCAGCAGGAGAGGGAGGAAACATCCCCTCCTTGCCCTGTGCAGTGACCCAGAAGCCTGGGAGATCTAGCAGAGCATGGGAAGAGCTACTCCTAGATCATCCCAACCCAATGGAAATCTGCCCCCCACCCTCTGAGGTGTTCATCCCTTGGCCTCGCAGCTCTGACAGCAAAGAGGTTTCCCCTGAGATCCAGTCAAAACCACCTCTCTTGTGGCAGGAGCTAGTTGCAGCCTTCCCCCAGGCCTTAACCGCAGCTGGGGGTGCTGCTTAGGAGCTAGGCAGGGTTTCCACCCTCCTGTGGCCAGGCTGGGCTGGACTGTGTTGAACCCTACCATCTCTTTCTGGGGGTGTTGTCCTCTCATTGGGGTGGAGAGGCTGGAGTACCCCACCCCAGGCTGTGAGGCTGTCTCTACCCCTCTAGAGATGACCCAGCGGGATGTGGCTGGCTTTGCCATCGGGGGCCTGAGTGGTGGGGAGGAGAAGGACCAGTTCTGGCGCATGGTGGCACTTAGCACTGCCCATCTGCCCCGGGACAAGCCACGCTACCTCATGGGAGTTGGGTAGGTGTCTTCACCCTCCACCACACCTGCCCCCCTTCTGGCCTGGAGTGGCCTAGGACCTCCCGCAGACCCCTTCATCTTGCCCTAGACTGGCCTGGGACCCTCCCATGTTCCCCTTCCCTGTCTGAGCCTGGGGTAAGGAGGGGCTTCACTACAGGGAGGGGTCCCCAGTGCTGGGTAGGGTGTGGGGGGAGGGCAGGGGTCCCTGGGCAGGTGAGCTCAGGCCATGGCTTCGTTGGGGGTGGGGTGACTGGGGTGTGCAGGCCAAAGGGTCTCACTCTCGGCTTCCTGCACTGAGGACTGAGACATGCTGAGCTCTGCCAGCCACACTCAGAACCCACCCCCACACCTGGCAGATACCCCACGGACCTGGTCGTCTGCATCGCTTTGGGCTGCGACATGTTCGATTGTGTCTTCCCCACCAGGACGGCGGTGAGGAGCTGGCAGGGGGGAGGTGGGGTTGACCCCCTGACTTGGGAGCTCTGACCCCAGGGGGGCAGTAGCGGGGTGGGATGGAGGCTCTGGGCACCCTGGGGCTGGCACTTAAGTAGCCCCCAGTGTCCTGAGATGCCTTGGGGGAGGGGGGGGGAGCATGTGGCCCTGCTCCCTCTCACTTGCCCCCCAGCCCCCTCCAACCGCTCCTGCCACTACAGCGCTTTGGCTCTGCCCTGGTGCCCTGGGGAACCCTGCAAGTGAAGAACAAGCAGTTTGCCAAGGACTTCCGACCCCTCAATGAGGACTGCTCCTGCCCCACCTGCAGTAGGTGTGTGCACATGTGCATGCATATGCGTGGGTGTGTGTTTGTGTGTGCAGATGTGTGTGCAGGTATGTATGTATGCATGTGGTTGGATGTTTGGATATGCCCAGGTGCATGTTGGTGTGGGTGCACATTTGGGTGCATGCATGTGCATACGTATGCGTGTTTGGGGGTGTGCCTGGGGCCGGGGCAGCAGGCTACTGAACTCCTGCCCCCTTTCTCCCTACCCAAGGTACACCCGAGCTTACCTGAATGCACTGATCCGCACAGACACGGCCGCCTTGCACCACCTCACTGTGCACAATATTGCCTACCAGGTGGGGCTGGCGCCTCTTAATCTGCCCATAGGGCTGGGGAGGGGGTGGGGGGAGGGGGGAGCTTGGTCAGGCTGGAGGAGAAATGTGGGAGTTAGTCCTGCAGCTCTGACTCCCTGCCCCCCCAGCTGCAGCTGATGGCATCTGTGCGGCAGAGCATTGTGGAGGGTCGGTTTCCCGCCTTCGTCCGCGACTTCATGGGCACCATGTATGGCACCCCCCAACGCTGCCCTGCCTGGGCCCTCGACGCCCTTGCCTCCGTTGGCATTGCCCTCGACTGACCAGAGGTGGAGCCCCTGCCTGGAGCCACTCAGAGTCCTCTGCCACCTTGGGATCCCCCATGTTCCTCTCTCCTGCACTGACTGACATGGGACCCCCTCCATGTTACCCCCCTGCCCTGAATGACCAGCCTGGGACCATCCCCACATCCCCCTCTACCCAGATTGGCTGGGGTTACCCCCACCCTCCTTCCCAGACTGCCTGGGACCGTCTCCATGTTACCCTACTGCCCTGGACCAACCTGGGACCCCACCCCTGTCCTGCCCCAGGCTGGCCTGGGTTCTCCCTCATGTGTGTCTCCCCTTCCCTGGATTCCCCCACTCCTGACCCAGGCTGACCTGAGCCCCCTTCTACATTCCCCTCCTGCCTTGAACTAGCCTGGTTTACCCCCTCCCCCTTCCCTTCTAGGCCAGGGACTCTGCCTTTTCCTGTTCATTTCCAAATCTGGCTTCCCTGCCACAAAGGATTCTGGGTAACACTGGCCCCCTCCCCCCATTACTGGGTGGTTGGGACCCTAAGCGGGGAGGTGGGGGCAGGGTGGAGGTGGCCCTGGCTGCCCAGAGGGGGGCTGCTGATGAGGGTGCTAAGGAAGGTGATGGTCCTGCCCACCCCCTCCCCAAATAAAGCCTGTAAAGCTACCCTGAAAGCAGATCTGGCCCTTAATACCCCTTCCAGGGCAGAAGGGAGAGGTCAGTAAGGCCCGGCTTCGTGTCCTGCATAGGAGCCTCCCTGGTCAGCACCGTGGGTGGAGGGGGTTAAAAGGGCCCTGGCTCCAGGCTGGGGTCCCCTGGCACTGGGAGGGGAGTGGGTCTTGGGAGCCTGGACACCTGAGTTCTAACAGGCAGAGTTAAAAGGGCCCCAGCCAGTCCCTCTGCCTTCCAGCTGGCACAGGACAGGCTTGACTGGACCCACACCTGGGGCAGCTGTGGGCTAGCGGGAGGGCAGTAGCGCTTAGCGGAGCGGGGGTGGAGGGCTGGGCACTGGGTGCGGGAGTTGGGATGGGGGCGCGGTATCTCCAAGGCGTCCAGGCTCCCGGGCCCTCCTGCTGTTACCCCCCAGTCCGGAGAACCCAGGCGTCCGGGCTCCCCGCTGCCGTGGGTCGGGACGAGGGACACCAAGGAGGGGTGCCCCAGCCTGGGCGGGGCTGGGAGCCTGGACGCCTGGGTTCCTTG